TTATATACGTGTATTCTACTAGCTTTTATTAGGTTCCTATTAACTATCCCTTGCTTCGGGGCTAGGTGTCTAGCAAGGGCGGATGGCCAGCTATCCCTGCCACCTACCTAGAGTACTGTCCGTACCAAGGTAACTTCGTAGGCCCTTATCTAATAATAGTAAGATACTTAGTACACGCCCTTATATCTAATATACCCCCTTAGCTCGGTACGTTGTCGCTACCTAAGTTAATTAATTAGGCGATTAATCGTTAGAGTACTTAGTGAAGGTAGTCCTATATCTTATTAAGTAGTGTAGTTCTTGTCACCTCTACGCTTATCACGTTAACTAGGCCTAGTTGATCGAGCAGGCCTTACCATTTATTGGCTGGCAGCACCTTTATGAGTCCATTAGCAATCATGTCGTCCAATCTAATATACTTAACGGTGATCGTCCTAGTAGCAACCTCTTGTCTTAGCCAGTGGGTGTGGATATCCACATATTAAAGCTTGGTCTAGAGTTTTAATACTTCCTATGTGACCAGTTGAATTATCTATTTATTATTACATTGGATTGTGATTGTAGTGCTAGGCAGGTTAATCCTTAGTTCCTTTAATAATCGGGAGAGATATATTACTTCCTTAGCTACTTGCATAAGGGCTAGGAGCTCTACCTTAGTTATTAACGTTATAATGGTATCCTATTTATTTACTTACCACGCAATTAAGCCACTAAATAGCTTAATTGCATATCCTTGAGAGCTTTTCTAATCTAGAGTATTGTTGGTAAATAAGGCGTCACTAGTGACCTAAAGGGTATCTCCGCCTCCTAGCTGTAGGGCCTTTTGCCTTATTGCTCTAAGGTAGAGGAGTACTCGATTAGCTACGTCGTGGTGCTCTTGGCCTAGGTTTATAAGGAATTGGGCCAATCGTGATGTGGAGAAAGTGATATCTAGGCGCATTATTACGGTAGTAAATAGTAGGGATCCAATCTTCCGTTGATACTTGTTAACCTCTAATAGTGAGGCTAGCCCTATGCGAGGCTTTAGCTCTACTCCAGCCATGGGTATATCGTGTTGGTAGTCTATTTTATTAATTAATC